CCACTCATTATCCCAAACTCAGTCCATCTCCACACCTCTACTAAAGATCTACTATAGGCCAGGGAAGGGCAGTGGGGCAGTGGGCAGAGTGCTTCTTTGTGAGTTTAGACCCAGCCTCAGGCACGTGTATTTACTAGCTGTGCCACCCTGGGCAATCACTTAACCTCAAGCAAGTTAACTTTAATCTTGCCTCATTTTCCTCATCTGTGAAATGAACTGAAAGAAACAGCAAACCGCTCCCAAACGGGGTGACCACTGAAATGACTGAGCAGTAGCAAGGGGCCAAGGGCTGGGGATACAAATTAAAACCCGAGGCGTTCTCTCCCCTCGGGGAGCTTGTATTCTGTGAGAGGGGATGTGTATACAACATACAGACTGTAATTTGGGGAGGAGGCGGCTGCAGCTTCTGTTGTGGGGGTTGGGAAAGGCTCTTGTTCCGGGCGGCTTTGGGCCAGGCATTGAAGGAAGCCAGGCATTCGAAGAGTCAGAGGTAGGGAAGGGATGCATTTCAGGAACGAGGAACAGACCCAGGAGACGGCACGTGGAGGGAAGGAAGGAATCTCTTCATGGAAAACCTGGATCACAACCCCAGCCGACCCCGAGATTTAAGGCCTACGAAGTGTCTCTTAGCCCCCATCGTAGCCTTGTGAATGAGGAGTAACAGGTATTATCTTTGCTTTACAGTTGGAGAAACTGAGGCAGGCAGAGGTAAAGTGACCTGTTCAGGGTCACACAGCCAGGAAGTGTCTGAGTCAGGGTTTGAATCCAGGTCTTTCCAGGTTCCCTTCCCTACACCAGGCAGACCCGCAGTCGGGGACACCAGAGAGAGTTCATTGTCCCAGGTACACTTTGGACTGAGGCCCCCGAGGTTCCCTGACCCACGCCCGGCTCTGAGGTTCTGGGATGATATTTTTTGTGTGGGAGGGAGTGTCTTCCTCTTCCCCTCCTTCTCCCTCCAGCCTGGTCTTATCTGCACTGTCTCTCCCAGAAGCCCCACGGGGGCCAGGCCTGGATCTGGGCCTTCCCTCTGGTCATAGGAAGAGTGCTGACTCCCATCCACTTCTCCCAGGCCTTCAGTCCGGACAGGCCCCCAGGTGACTGCCCCACTCTCGGGGCCGCTGCCTGGGACCTTGTTGGCAGGCTGGGCCCCATTCCCCTTCCAGTAACAGGGAAGGGAGGGAGTACAGACCCCAGATGTTCTAGGACTTGCTCCTGACCCCCTGTGCAGAGCTGGACCTGGCTAGCAGCACAACCCAGGAAAGGAAGGAGTCCTGACAGGCTGAGCCCAAGGGGTAGGTAGGGTCTGGCCCACCGCCAGCCTCCCTTGGCTTGTTAGACTATAGCAGTGGCTGCTAGTCCAGAACCCTGCCCTGCCAGCCCCTGCTCCCCCAAACTTGGGGCCTAGACATTCTGAGTCAGGCAGGGTTTCCTTTTCCCATGGCCCCTTCTTAGGACTCCGGCAACCCTTCATCTGCCCACACAATCCCGCTTTCGCTCCTGTCCTGTTTAATACTGGCAGTGTGGTAACTGACCCCAGGATACAAAGCCGGGTTCTGAATCCAGAGGTGGGGCCTCTGACTTCCAAATCTAATCTAAAGTTCTTTCCCCCAGAGTACCAGACCTGGGCTCAGAAGGGAATTAAGGATAGTCGGGAAGACCTGAATTCAAATCCTGCCTCAGACATTTACTAGCTAAGTGACCCTGAGCGAATCACTTCTGTCTGCCTCAATTTCCTCATCTGTAAAATGGGGATAATAATAGCACCTACTTCCCAAGGCTGTTGTGAGGATCAAATGAGACAATATCTGTGAAGCTCTTAGCAGGTACCCGGCAGTAGCAGGCCCTTAGTAAATTCTTCTTTCCTTGTTTCCCAGCCCGGTGACCTTGGGCAAGTCAGTCACCTCCTGCTTCTTCCCTTCATGTTAGAGTATGAAAGAACTGGAAATGTGCTGCTCTGTCCTGAGGCCTCTTTTCTCTTACTGACCACATTAGCTCCCATGGATTTAATGGTCATCTCTATACCAGCCCCAGCACCTCCTCAGTTACCAGCTGCCTGCTGGCCATTTCCAATGGTCGGCGTCCTGAAATCCACACGTCAAAAAAGACTTCGTTATCTCCACCCCCAAAAAAAACACCCTGCCCCCCTCCAAATTTCCCTTGGTTCTGTTCAGGGCATCCTCCCAGTCACTTAGTGACAGCCCCACAGTCATCCTTGACTTTTCTGTTTCACTGTATCACATAACGTATCATATCACATCTCATCGGTTAGATGGCCCTGGCTAGAGCTCTGGGCCTGGAGTCCAGCCTCAGTCACTTAGTATCTGTGTGACCCTGGGCTTGTCATTTCAATCTCTCTCAGCCTCAGTTTCCTCATCTGTAAAATGGAGGTAGTCATCTGGGATAAGCCTTGTAAAGTGCTTTGCAAGCCTTAAAGCCCTAATAGATGCTAACTACCATCACCACCACCATCAGAGTCATCCAGTAGCTGGGTCCCGTCCCCTCTCCGACCATGTGCCGCCACCCTCGTTCAGACCCTGGTTACCAAATTTCGAGATTCCAGGTCCAGGAGCTCCCATCCCCCACCTTCTCCACAGCTGCTGAAATAATCTTCCTGGATATTTCCAAGTCACTCACCTGCTCAGCAGATGCTCCCCCTTGCTCTGCTGAGGTTTCCCCCGGGGGGTGGGAGGCCCTCTGCGTCTGACTCGGCCCGCCTGCCCAGCCTCATCTCACATTCTCCCTTCACAAGAGGTGCTTTCCAGCCACACCGGACTACTCGAGATTTCTGCGACTCAGACCATCTGTCTCCTTCGTCTCTGTGTCTGTAGAAGTTATTCCTGGTGCCTGAAATGCAGCCCTGCCGCGAGTGGCCAGGACAGAGACCCTCGAGCCCGCCTTCCAGGCTGGCTCAGCACTTCTCTCCCTTGTCCACCCAGGACTCCAGCCCTTTACAAACTGGCTCCTGTCTATCTCCCCACCCCACCCCCTGCCCCGGCCGTTCCACATTATTTTGTCCACTCTACGTCTTGGCTAAACGTGCTGCCTTTTATTCTGAATGTGTCCCTTTCATCGCCCATTGCCATGTCTTTGCCCAGGCTGTTCATGCCCGTAATGCTCTCCTCCTTCACCCTGTGTCTCCCCACAAGACTCAGTCCAGGGACCTCCTCCTGTCTCTCTCCCCACAATAGCGCCACCCGCCACAATCTGTGAATGCTTTTCTCAACCACTGAAAGGATTTTGCATCGTTTTTTATTTACTTTGCGCTTAAGTTTCTATGAATATATTGTAGCCAACAGAATGGAAGCTTCTTGAAGCCAAGACTATTTCCTTTTAAAATTTGTATCTGCAGCATCTAGCAGAGTGCCTGGCGCAGAGGAGGCACTTCATACTCACTGAACGAATGAATGAAACTCCTCTTCTCTGGTTCCCAACGGAGGGTTCTCTAGTCTTTTTGTTTTCAGACATGTCCAACTTGTTGTGGGGTTTTCCTGGCAGAGGTACCGGAGTGGTTTATCATTTCCTTCTCCAGTTCATTTTACAGATAAGGAAACTGAGGCAAGCAGGGTCAAGTGACTTGCCCAGGGTCATCCAGCTAGGGCTGGATTTCCTGACTCCAGGCCTGGTACTCTATCTGCTGTGCCTCCTAGCTGCCCTCTCTGGTCTTCCACCTTCCTACACATCAGTAGAATGGGAGGAATAGTAAGGATGACTTCTGATTCCTTCCTCCAGGACCTTTGAGGAAGCATACTTAACTTTTTTTTAATGGACAGCTTGAGGTGGAACCTCATTATGCTCCATCTCCCTAATTGGGAGTCAGAGTTATTTCAGCTGGAGCTTAGCTGTGCTCCCCTCCCACCCCAGCCCACCGCGGCAGGACTGTAAAACTCAGCGACATTCATGAGTTCATTCAATGATTTTCCTAAAGCCGGATTTGACCGTGTCATGCCTTACTCAATATACTCCAGGGGCTCCCTATTGCCTCCAGGGTCAGATACAAAATGCTTTTGTTTGTTTGTTCAGAGCCCTGAATTAGGGGTAGCCCCTCCTCCCTTTCCAGTCTTCTTAGACCTCGCTTCCCAACACGTCTTCTTCTATCCCTGACGCTGGCCTCCTGAAGGGGTGTTCCTGAACGACACCCTCCATCTCTGGTGTTCTCTGGCTATCCCCCTGCCTGGAATGCTCTCCCTCCTCCGCTCAGCTGCTGACCTCCTTGGCTTCCTCTACGTCCTCTCTAAAATCCCACCATCTACACGGAGCCTTCCCCAACCCCTCTTCATTCCCATGCCTTCTCTCTATCAGTTGTTTCCCATTCATCTGGCTGTAGCTTGTTTGTACCTATTTCTCTGTTAACTGTCTCCCCAATTAGACTGTGAGCTCCTTGAGGGCAGGGACTGCCTCTTCTTGTACCCCCAGCACTTAGCATAATGCCTGCCACGTGGCAGACATGTGACAAATGTTTGTTGATTGCTTGAATAGGATTGGAGTTCTAGTTAATTTGAAATATAGCAGTGAGAACCCTGATCTGGGGTCGGGAGACTTTCCTTTGAATCCTGGCTCTCTACTTTTTACCTATGTATCCTAGGGTAAGTCCCTCAACCTCTCTGTGCCTCAGTCTCCCCACCTGTAAAATGAGGGGTTTGGACTTGATGGTCTTGTATTAGTCTATAGAGTGAGCTCTTTCTAGCGATATATCCTGTGATTCTGAAACATATTTCAGCATCAGAAAGATCACGGGGTGAAGGAGAAAAGAGGAAATGCACATTTCTCTCTTCTTTTCAGAGGTGGGGCCTCTAGGTGTCGAATACTGTCAACTGGGTTAATGTGGTGAATTGTACGGATGCGCTTTTTCTTCTCTCGCCTTTTTACTTTTTGTCACAAGGGATAGCTCCCTGGACAGTGAGGGGAAAAGGAAATACATTTGGAAATGAAGGGGATAAGGATTCAAAAGCTGTCAATAAAAATTAAAATTCAAAAAGATTATGACATAAATGTTTGATCTCTCCAAAAATGATATCCCATTTTCAAGCTCTTCCGCATCATCTGCATGCAGTCTCAGCTGTCTGTTCATTACAAATGAGCCTTATTTCTCCCATGAAAGAGGCCTGGCAGGACTTCAGGTCAATATTTTTCTTAGCAGTGAGTTAGTTTTCTGTTCTGGAATGGAAGATGTAGATTTCTTTAAAAAAAAAAAAAAGGAAAAAACCTCTCTAGACTATAAATGGGCATCGGTTTCCTCATCTGTAAGTGAGATGATGGAGTGAACTGGCTGATCCCCGAGGCAGACTGGCCTCCCCACAATTAATGCCAACCAGCCGAGGTCTGTCGGCTTCAGGCTGGGGTTGTAATCAGCGTCTCCGGCTGCCTGTCTGTCAGCTGGGGATAACAGGATGCCTCACCAGGACTGAACAAGGTGAGGTGATATCTACCTTGAAGCTGGATTTCTAGAAGCAGCCCAGACTGCTCCTGAAGGCTGTCCTGACCGTCTCAGGAGGAGCTCAGAGGTGTGTTAAAAATGTATTGTCATGTCCATCTGGTAGTCTGGCATTTGAAGGGGATAGGACTGAAGGGTGGTGAGCGCTCCTGACAAAGGAAGAGAGGCTGGGACCCCCAGCAAAAGGGAAGGAATTTCAGTTCCACAAACATTTTTGAAACCCTTACTATTTGCAAGGGATTGGGTCAGTCCACAAGCATTTATTGAACATCTACTATGTGTCAAGCACTGTGCTAAGTGCTAGGGATGCAAAAAAAGGCAAACATAGTTTGCATTCTCAAAAAGCTCCCAGTTCAGTAGGGGAGATGACGTGTGAACAACCAGGTGAAGACAAGCCAGAGACAGGATAAGCGGGAAATAATCCGCAGAGGCAGAGTACCAGGATTTATAGGGTCCTGGAACGGCTTCTCGTAGGGGACTTGGAAGACGCCAGGGATGGCCAGGAGACAAAGAGGAAAATTGTTCCAGGCAGAGGAGATGGGGGCAGGGGTACCAGTGAAAACCGACTCCTGGAGTCGAGATGGGGAGTCTTCTAAGGCCAGTCACTAAGCCACAGGGTACACGAGGAGTGAGAGGAAGGGAAGACAAGGAAGGTAAGGGGGCAGGGCATAAAGGGCCTCGAATGCCAACAGAGGATTTTCTATTTGTCCAGGAGCCACTGGAGTTTATGGATGGGGGGGGGCGGCCGCGTGGGGGTGATGGGGAAGATCAGCTTGCAGCTGAGTGGGAGATGGTCTGGAGCTGGTCTTCCAGCTGCATTCAATTGGCTACTTAGATATTTTTGTATCTATTTCTCTGCTTTCATATTGTCCCAATTCCCGGAGGGCAGGGACTATTTCATTTTTGTCTTTGTGTTTGTCTTCAGGTCCTAGCCCAGGCTTGGCACACAGTAGGTGTCTAATAAATGCTTCCTTGAATTCTTTTAGCTTTCTCAAATGGGATTTGGGGTTTACCTTTAGAGAGAGTCATCTCGGGGTGGGTGGAGGAGCAGGCCCAGCCTAGGCTTAGTCAGCCAGGCTTGCCGGGACCTTCCTCCCTGCGCGCAGGACCAGCGCTAACTGCTGACGTGGTGCCCGGTCCAGGTCCCTTTGTTTTCCTACACCTCAGGGATCATGGGGGGGCGTGTCTCCCCTAGTAACTGGCAGCCTGCCAAGCCTCGATGCCAGACACGTCACAGCACTGGCCGTGGGGAAGCCTACAAGGTGAGCCTGAGCCTTAACTTTTCCTGGCGTGTGTAGATCTGCAGGGAAGACTCCGGGGGTGCTGGGAAGCAAGCCTGACTGCTAGTGGCTAGCTGTGTGACTTCTGTGCTGCCCCTCTCTGAGCCTGGGGGTGGGTGGGGTGAGGTCTTCCCTCCTTCTGCCAGTTATGAGCATCTTCCTCCCCCAACTTCCCAAGACATCTATTTTGGGGTTAGTTTGCACATATCTTGGGTTTCCAGTGTGTTTAATGTAAACTCCTCAAGGGCAGGAGTTAACTTGTTTATATCTTTGTATCTCATGCCTGGAGACAACTACATGGTACAGTGGATGGGGTGTGGGGCTTGGAGTCCGGAAGACTCATCTCCCTGAGTTCAAATCTGGCCTCAGACACATGCTATGTGACCTTGGGCAAGTAATTTGACCCTGTCTACCTCAGTTTTCTCACCTGTAAAATGAGCTGGAGAAGAAATGGCAAACCACTCTGGTATCCTTGCCAAGAAAGTCCCAAATGGGGACATGGAGAGTCAGATACGATTGAAACAACTGGATGACAACAATCTTGTGCCTGTCAAACAGTAGGTGGTTGATAAATGTTTGCTCGTGGATTTTCTCTGAACTTTTTAAATCCATAGGGTCATAAACTATTAGAGCCAAAAGTTAACTTTGGACTTAAGATTTTGTGTGTCCTGGACTTCTCTGGAAGTCAATCTGCTAAAGGCTATGGGCGCCTTCTCAGAATAAGGTTTCTACATGCATAAAATAAAATATATAGGGTTGGAAAGGAAGCCACTTATACTGACAATTATCTGTCTGTCTGTCTGTCTGTCTATCTATCTACCTATCTATCTGTCTGTCTGTTTGTCTATCTATCTATCTATCTGTCTGTCTGTCTGTCTGTCTGTCTGTCTGTCTATCTATCTATAGTTTAAAGTCCACAGATCTCAGGTTAAGAAACTCTGATTTAGTCCATTCCCCTCATTTTATGGAAGAGGAAAAATGAGTCATAGAGATCAAGGGACTTGCCCAAGGTCATATAGCTAACGAGTTGTAAGATCATAGGACTATAACTCTAAAGCTAGGAGGGACCTCAGAGGCATCTAACCTGTTCTAACAGTCTCATTTTACAGATGAAGAAACTGAGGCTGAGAGCTTGGTGTGATCTGTCTATGGGCTCACAGTGTTAGCATTGGCACATGACCCCAGATCCTCTGACTCCTGATACGTGGCTCTTTCCCATCATGCCACAGTTCATAAAGGGCTGCATCTTCAGATCCACCTTACAAAGACCCCATGAGGGATGCAGTGGAAGGGATTGTTACTCCATACAGATAGACAAACTTGGGCCCAGAGAGAAAGGACAAGTGGGTGTACATTCCATGGAGGTACAATTTGAGATTCCTATAAGTAGGAACTTTCTTATCAGACCTGCCCAATAACAGAAGAGGCTGCATTTTTGGTAGTGAACTCCCTGTCACTGTAAATATGCAAGCACATAGGACTCTCTGAAATTATGCGTTTCTGGAACCTGTGGTTAGTATCCTTCATGATGTCTCTGTGACCAGGGTGGCATTCCCAAGAGGGCAATAGGGAGTGTTGGGGCCTGAGACTCTCCTTGGGCAGTTTCCCATCTTCCCCCACTGGGAGAAGGAGGTACGAGCGATGACACTGAGCCCTGCTTCCATCGTCATGGCCAGTCCTATAGGCTTTGTTTCTCAGCCTAGCGTTCAGCCCTTCTTCCCTCCCCGCAATCTACCCCTGCCCTGCCTCATCTGGCCTCATCTCCTGCTAATCCCACCCTGCCAAACCAGGCTACTTTTGTCTCCTGAAAAGAGCCATAGATTTGGAGCTAGAAACCCAGCTCTGGGCTTTTCTCTACGTCCACTCGCTTTTCTGAGCCTCGGTTTCCTCATCTATAAAACAAAGGGGGCTGGGCGGGACATGGGAGGGGTAGTGAGGGAAGTGAGGCCAGAATTACAAAACATATCAATGACATGAGTCGTAATGGGCCTCATTCATGTCATGAGAAGAAACAGCAAAATGCAGGTTCCAAAAGAGTCTCTTACAATATTACAGGAATGCTAGAAGACACGGACAAAATCTTTCCCCATTTTTAAGGCTCAAATTCAATTTATTTCAACAAGTATTAGGCACTTCCTGTGCACATTCCAGGTCCTCTGATGGTTGTCTCCCTCAGTAGAATGTAAGCTACCTGAAAGCACAGGCTGTTTCATTTTTGCCTTTACATTCCCACCTCCAGCCTGGAATACAGTAGGAGCTTAATAAATGCTTGTAGGCTCATTGGTTGATTTATGAAAACTGATTCATAACCTGATTCTCCCCGTTCTACCCTGTTGTGTGGCCAAGAGAGGCAAATACACTGGCCTTGGAGTCAGAGGACTTGGGTTCAGATTCCACTCACTGCCTAAGGGGACCTTGGGCAAATCACAGATCTGGAGCTAGAAGAAACCTTGGAAACCTCGAGTCCCCCATTTCTTGGATGAAGAAACTGAGGCCTGGGGAGGTTAAGTGCTTGCCCATGGCCACACAGAAGGTCAGAAATCTAGAGTTGGAAGGGACATCAAGAGGCTATTTTACAGAGGGGGAAACTGAGGCCCCTGAGGAGGGGCGAATAAAGTGACTAGCCTAAAGACACCTAGCCAAGATTGAAGCCCAGATCCTCCGGACCCAAACAGCTGACCCTTTCCATTAACCCTGCCCCCACGCTAGTACAAGGAGGGAGTGAACAAGCATTTCTTAACTGCCTGGCGCTGTGCTGAGCACTTTATAAATACTGTCTCATTTGATTCTCACAACCGCCCTGGGAGGGAGGTGCTGTAATTATCCCCATTTTATAACTGAAGAAACTGAGGCAGACAGGTCACACAGCTAGCTGTTAGTATCCAAGGCAGAACTGGAACTCGAGTCTCCCTCACTCCAGGCCCAGTAAGTGCAGGGCCTCAAGTATGGTGGTGGATCCTTCAAAAATAGGATCAGGCTGAGGCCTTGAGGGCTTAGCTCGATTTAAGTCCCATTTACCAGCCGTGTGACCCTGGATAAGTCATTTGACATTAGTCTTTGAGCCTCTCAGTTGTTTCATCTGTAAAAAGGAGTCTTTGTGGGGTAATGGAAAAAGGGTTGGGTCCACGTCGGCGCCAGAGGGCTTGGGTTCAGATCCTGTATTCCACTTGATTTTGCATGTGACTTTGGGAAGGCCAGCTCCACTCTCAGGGCCTCAGTTTCCCCATCTGCCCAGTGAAAGGGTTGGACCGACAGGACTGGTGAGCTCCCTGGCTGATCTGAAGCTCTGGCCCCAAGAACGCTTTCCCTGCCTTTGTGGCTGGAGGGGGTGGGGGAAGCACTGTGGGGACGACACGGTCAGCTGGCGCTGCTCTCACAGACTCGTCCTTTGGTAGCTTCACCAGAACCACGGCGAAGGTGGGAGAGGAGTCACTGCTGGCGCTGAGTGAGGAGTTCCATCATTTTTAGTATCTGGTAGTAATTAAGGAGCCCAGAGAGGAAATCAGCAGAGCTGGGCTGTTTAATTAAAACTGGATGGCAGGTAGAAGTCTCCTTCTCCCCCCTACCCCGACTTTCCAGCAGGAAGCCAGATACGCGCTCAGCGCCATGAAAGCAGCGGACAGAAGCAGCAGAACCTCAGGGTGCAGGGACTGGGCTGCCTCCCACTGGGTTCTCAGCTCAGTGGCTTCCAAGAATGACTGTCAGCTCAAATTAACCTCTCATAGTGGGCGCCGGCCCTCTGTGGGCCGCAGGGACGAGCAGGCGGAGACAGAGGTGACCTTGACATCCCTTCCTGGGACTCTGAGCCTAGGACAGGGTGTTCAGCCCAGCCTGGGGGAGTAGGGCAGCGGGGTTCGTATCTCCACGCCCCTCCCCAGAGCATACGTGGAGAGTGCGGAGTCTGTGGTGGTCCTGGGCGATTGCTCATTGTACAGGGATGAAAGAGGGCAGCTCCGGAAGGAGGGCTGGCTGTCACGGGCCTGACCCAACAGAGCTGAATGTCAGATGGCACCCATGCAGTCTGAGCACGGGGTAATTGTCACTGCTGTGCCATGAGCAGAGAGCTATTTGACTGTTTAATTTAGTGGCGACGCAGCTGGTCGAGTCTCACCAGTTCATGGCAGGCTTTAAGCCCTGTGGTCCTGGGAGGGAGAGAGGGCAACAGTGTGGAGCCAGGGACCTCCGTTCTCCCAGTTCCATGACTGCACAACCCCACCTGCCTTTGAGGCTTATGGGACCTTAGGCTAGACACTTTTCTCTATGCCTCAGTTTCTTCCTCTGTAAAATGAGACAGCTGGACTACATGACCCCTGAGGGCCCTTCCAGGTCTAGAGCTTCTTAGATTCTGAAACTGACAGAAATGGAGGTGGGCCTAGAAGAGTGAGTGGATAGAGAGGAGGAAGAAAGGCATAGCAAACACAGAAGAGCGTGCGCAGTAAGCCCTGTTTGAGGGCCAAGGAAGAAACCAACCCGGCTGAAGCGAAGGGTTTGCAGACGGAGAACAGCTGGAGAAAGACTGGATGAGGGAATGAATGAGATTGATTGCAAAGGACCTAGAATGCCAGAGTGAGAAGACTGAGCTTGAGCCAAGTGGTTTGATCTGAGATTTGAGAATGGGGTGGGGTGGGACACCTAGAAGCCAGGAGAATGAGGCCTACGAGGACTGTGATTCTGAGATGCCACTGGGGAAGATGAGGCTCAGCCCAGCTTTGGGCAGATCAAAAACTAACAGGGTCATGCAATTGTATGGCATCTGAAAATGAGCCCGCTCGTGGCCTCCCAGTCAGTGTGAACACTTCTTTGCCCTGTAATTTCATCTTGGGATGGACAGACTTAGCCCTAAGCCTCCCTTGTAAGATGCCCAGCCAATCACCAGACGTTGATAAGGTCCCAGAAGCATGCCAGGCACCGGGGGTACAAAGACAAAAAAAGAACCTGTCCCTATCCTCACAGAGCTTACCTTCTACTGTCCTGAAAGAGAACGGATGCAGAGAAGGAGACAGAAAAATATCAACACAGTAAGCACGATGCAATGTGGAGAATGTTGGAGAGGGCAGCACGGGAACCTAAAAGTAAATACAGAAGGCGTACAACATTTAAAAAGTCGTTCTGAGTGGCAGGGAGGGCAGGGAAGGAGGTCCACATCTCAGGAAACAAAGCAGATGCCACTCATCGGAGGGACAGGGCAGAAGTTTGTGGTATTTGAATATAATGGAATCAAGCCATGAGAAATGTGGAACATTAAAAACTTCCGAGTTACTCAGGAAGATTTGTATGAACTGATGCAGGGGAATGAGCCGACCCAAGAAAACCATACTCAGTAAGAACAGAGGGGAAACAATGTTGCCTGGCAGCAGAGCTCTGGTCAATGGCAGGGCCCAAGTTGGCTCCCTCTTTGGGGGAGAGAGGCAGTATATACGTAAGCGTTTTATGATTGCAGTTTTTATGCACATTGTCCATTTAAAGGTCACGGAGGCCATTTGAGATGGGTTCTACGAGTAACGTTACAGATGGGGGAACGAGGCTCCTGCAGGTGAGGTCCATTCGACTTGCCCAGGGTCACATAGCTATTGATGGCTGAGATTCAAACTCAAGGTATCTTCTGAGTCCAAATTCAGCCCTTTCCAACGTATCAAACGAGATAGTATCTGGAAAGTGCTTCACTGACCTTCAGAAGCCACAGAAATGTTAGTGATTGGCTATTATTTAAGCACGCCTTTCTAGTTCTAAGCGTGGTTTAGCTACAGGTAGTATCTGCTGCCTTCGAGCCTCCACCCAGCCCAGGCTGCGTCCCCACACTGGGCTGTCCCTGCTTCCTGGGTTTGGACATGTCTAGGCACAGTGAGGCCGCTGTCAGTCAGTAAATAAGTATGTATTGGGCAACTCCTACATGTGGTGCGCAGTGCTAAGCCTACTGTTCTCGCCTTCCAGGTCATCGCGGTGGTTATGGACCTTTTCACAGATGGGGACATCTTCCAGGACATTGTCAATGCTGCCTATAAGAGACGGGTCCCCGTGTACATAATTCTGGACGAGGCAGGCGTCAAGTTCTTTCTAGAGATGTGCCAGACCCTGGAGCTCAATGATTTCCGAATTCGGGTATGGCCTAGACCTCTGAGGGGAGGGTGGGAAAAGGCCCACTCCCCCATATCCTCTTCCCACCTCTTCTGCTCCCCACCCAGACGTGAGCTTAACTTCCAAAGCAAATAACAGATATCCACCTGTGTCTTCCACTCCAGAGTGAGGAGGAAAGAAGGGCTCCCTGGGCCTTGGTTCTGATCCAGCCCACTCTTGAGTGAAACTCCTGCTTGGAGCTTGTCAGCCTCATGTCATCACCAATATGGTGGAAAACCACCAAGTCCTAGGTGGCCCTTTGAATGATAATGCCCTTTCAGGTTCGCAGCGCCTTTTAGAAACAATATCTCATTGGGCCCGCACAGCAATCCTATAGGCTGGGTACTATGATCATTCCCATTTTAGAGAGGAAGAAAATGAGACTCCGAGAAGTTAAACAATTTGCCCCAGTAATTCAGCCAGTAAGGATCTGAGGCAGAATTTGAATCCAAATCCTCATGATTCCAGGCCATAAACTCAGGAAGAGTCAGGGGAGCCGCTCTGGGTGAGCAGTCTGGTCCGGCCTTTGTCCACACATAATGACCTGGTCCCCATCTGCCTTTCCAGAGGGATACTTTGCTAGGTGGCCACTGTATGGAGTAAGGGCCAGCCTCACTGCTACCTGGAAGGGATAAGTCTGCTGGGCACAGAGACCATTCTGCTTTTGAGGATAAGAGAAGAGGGCAGGGATGGAGAGTGTTTCAAACCGTCTGAGCAGTGCATGGCCCAGGGCCTGCAGAGCAGGGGAATCCACTTTCTGCCATTTTGGCCTCCCACACGCAAACAGCAATTCTAGGCCCGACAGATCAGATTGACTTTGATTCCTGTCTCCTCTCCCCACCAGAACATCCGAACCCGCTGTGTGACTGGTGTTGGGTTCTATACTCCTACAGGAAAGGTCAGAGGGACCCTGTCCTCGAGGTTCCTAATGGTAGATGGTGACCGAGTAGCGACAGGTCTTACAGGTGAGTGGGGCTGAGCCTGAGCTCTTCCTTTCTGGCTCTGACATCCTTGGAGCATGGGCCGTGAAGGTGGGAGAGCCTGGGGCTTGGGGAGGGTGGAGGAGGCACACAGGGCCAAAAGGACCAAGACCCCGTCACTTCTCCTTCTAGCTTTACGTGGCGATCCTCCCACGTGGACAGAAATCTTCTCCTGGTGTTGACGGGGCAGCACGTGGAGCCCTTTGATGTGGAGTTTCGGGAACTCTACGCCATCTCAGAGGAGGTGGATCTGTACCGAGAACTGGGACTGACGGGCCTCAAATACTCGTCCACGGTGGCGCGTAAACTGATCAACCCAAAATATGCCCTGGTGGCAGGCAGCCGGCAACCTCCTGGGGAGATGATGCGCTGGGCGCGTCAGAAGCAGGAGGCCAGAGGCGGGGACGAGGATGAACCAGAGGAGGGAGGCGGGGAAGGCTCCGAGTCTGCCTGGCGCCTCGACGACTTTCTCCACGACCTGGTCACGCTAGACCAGGTGCTACCCGTGATGGACCCTCCACCCCTGGAGGAACTGGCAGCCTGGAAAGGAGGCAGACGAGCAGAACCAAAGCCCAAGGGTGGGGAGCCTTCTGTCCAAGCCGGGAAGAGCGAGGCTGCCAATGGAGCGGCGGCCGCCGGCAAGGAGGGCAGACGCCTGGGCAGCAAGTTCAGCTGGAGGTCTAAGCGTGCTCCCGCCACCAACGGCATGGTCAGCTCCCTCTCCAGTGAGACCTTTTCTGAAGGGGATTTTGTGGTGGTGAGGAGGCCGGCCATAGAACTGGGGACCCAAAGCCCGGCAGCAGTGTGCACAGGAACGGCAGTGTCTCAGGTAGGACCCCACCTCCCCTCCCCTCCCTCTGGCCTCTTCCCTGGCCCTTCCCCGGGCGGCGCACAGTACCAGTTGTGCCACACACCCTGCGAGGCATTTTTATTGATATCTTTTGTTTTCACGTCACCTTCCTTTGCAGACAGGTCCCCCCCTCCTCCCCTACCCAGGGAGCCATCCCTTATCACAGAGACTACAAAAGACGGGGTGGGGTGGGGGGAGGGCAAGTTCAGCAACACCAGCTTGGCACATTCACCAAGGCTGGCATCGCATGGAATGTGCCACTCCGGTATTCTCCCACCTCCTCACAGGGCACCCGGCTGGGGAATTTGTAAGACTTGAGTTCAAGTGTCTGCACTGCTACTTGCTGCCCTGGTGATCTTAGACGAGTCACTGCTCTTTCTAGGCCTCACCTGTACAATGAGGTGTTGGGCTAGATGACTTCCTAAAGGCTTTTCTAGCTCTAAGTCTACAATGCTCTCATTATCAGCTTCACATTCTAGCCTCTATCCATCCATCTGGGCCCAGATCCCAATTACCCTGCTGGTATGCAGCCCTCATTTTACAGATGAGGAAACTGAGGCCCAGGAAGGAAATTTGCATAAGTCGCAAGATCAAGGGATCAACAGTTTTATGAAGTGCCTACTGTGTGCCAGGCCCTGGAGAGACAAAGATAGGAATGAGACAGCCCCTGCCCTCCTGAGCTTGCGCTCTGTCAGTTTTGCCTTCGGGCCTGGGGCTCTTTCCAGCAGATGAGCTCTGGGCTGGATCCCTGCCCCCAGGAACAAACTGGGGGGAGGGGGCGGCCCTGGCCAAGCCTCTCCTGCCCTGGCCTGCTGTCTGACCGACGGCTGCACTTGTTTCTGATGGAAATAGTTAACCGGCTCCGTTCCCAGGTCTGGTTGGTGCCTGTCCTCTGGTGGTTTTTATTTTTATTTTGGTTTTTCTGTCCTCTAAGAATCTGTCTGGGTCTCAGCCTGAGAGCTGCTGGAAGGCCAGGATTGTGTCCAATTTATCTTACAGTTTTCAGCACGGCAAAGAAGACCCGCCTTTCAGGGGAAAAAGGTGCTAATAACCTGGGCTGCTTCTATTCCCTGGCCACAGAAATAGACTCTCCCCCTGGGAACTGGAGGGAAAGATTCACATAAATGGAGAAGAGGCAGAGAAAGGTTCACAAGGGAGTGCTGTGCACATGCCTGGCCTACTTCAGAGAGCCCCTGGCTCTGCTTCTTCTCAGCTCAGAGGCTCTGGGCAGGGCCATTCACCTTGCCAAGATTCGGTTTCCTTATTTGTAAAATGGGGATCATGCTTCTTAGGATTAATAGAAGGAGCCCTGGCCTTGGGCTCAGATGACCCGAGTTCATATCCTGACTTTGTATCTCTATACAAATGGCTTCCTCTCCCTGACCCTCAGTTACCTCCTCTTTAAGGAAGAAAGGGCTAAACTAGGTGATCTCCCAGGTTCCTCCAGGTTCTTAAATCCTAGTCTTTCTTCCTGAGCCATGGAGAGGGATTTTTTTTTCCTTTTCCAGATGTAATAAAGAGGATTTTTTTTTTTTACTTTTCCTCCAGTAGGTCAGAATCTCCTAGGTTCACGGCCCTGGAGTCGGCATGGGCCAGAGGTCCTCTGGTGCAGCCCCTGTCACTCATATGGAACGTGGGGCCTCAGAGAGGTGAATGTGGGTCCTGGAACTCCACTGTGGAGGCGTCCTGGGGCTCAGGGAGGGCCAGCTCTCCTGAGGCTCCCTTCTGTCAGGCCCCTCTCAGAACAGGCCACATCTCTCCTCCTGCTCTTCTGGGGCGTGCAAGCAGCCTGGGCTTACTGTGATTTCCCTACGTTCGTGTGGCTCAGGTTTAAAAAGAGCTTGTCAAGTCTAAATCCTTGTTTTAGAAAGAGTTGGAAAGGGAGGCCCAGGGACAGCAAGTCAGGGTGGGAGGGAACCCTAAAAGTCAGACAGGCTAGCCCTCTCATTTTATAGGGGGAAACTGAGGCCCAGAGATGGAATCACTAAGTCAGGATTTGAAGCCAGCTCCTCAGACCCCAAATCCACCTCTCTTTCCACTGTATGTGCCCCAATGCAGGAGGGAGCTGGTGTCCCTTCCCTCTCCTCTGGTCCACCCCAAGTTTGCACCTCCCCCCTCCCCCAACCAGATGCTACACTGCCTTGTGCCTCTTCCAGAGAGGAAGGGTTGCCATGGAGAACACCTGGCAGGGAAGGGAAGGAGAATGGGAGAAGAGCCCATGCTGGAAAAGAGGAAGCCACCCTCCCCCTCCACAGCCTTCCCCCCAGGTGACGTCTCCATAGAAACCCCATGGCCCCACTGGCCTGCCCTGTCCCTGTGTTTCTGGTGGCCTCCTCGAGTCCTCCTGAATGACACAGCAGCGATGGCTGTGTAGACCTGAGAGGAGGGGGCACCCAGGCTGATCCTGGAAGGAGAGGAAGGGCCCAGGGCAGTGGAGATGGGGGGGGGAGGGATGGCCTGGCCATCACCCAAGGGCTTCAGCCTCTCTGACCCCCACAGCTGTGCTGGCAGCAGATGAAGGGCTGAGGAGCTTCTTTACATGATAAGGAGAAGAAATGACTCATGGCTAAAAGTCACAGGGAGACAGAATGCTGGGCTCAGGGTAAGGAAGCAAGGACCTTCCTTTTCCTAGCCCCGAGCTGCCTCCTAATAGCTGTGTGACCTTGGAAAAATCTCTTTTTTTTCTCCCCTTTGGCCTCAATTTCCCAATGTGCAAAATGAAGGGCTCTGACTAGATCAGCCTTAAATGCCCTCCCAGCTCTAATACCGTCTTCTCCTTCCAAGTCTGCCATTCTCAGCGTAGCCCCTGCCCTCCTGCCTCGTAGGGATGCCTTGCTCTCTCTGCCATGTTAAATAACTTACAACGTCACTTCATGGGGAGATCTCTGAGCCACAGCCCCCCACTCCTCTCTGGATCCAGGGCCCTGGGCCCCATGGGAGTGGGGGGGGGTGGCTGAGAGACAAAAGCTTCAGGCTCAGTGAAATTCAACTAAGAGGCCAGCTCCAGCAAGCAGGCCCGCACTAGGAAAAAGAAGACGGGGATCTGGGCTCACCAAGGAGTGCATGCCCCCAAGGCCACCAGGCACATCAGTACACCCACAGAACAGAAAGTGTGAGGGACTGAAATCAGAAGACCTGGAGAAGGGGGAACACATCTTAGCTCTGCCCTCCAACTCTGGGTGTTGATAAAAAAAAAAAACATGAGGAAACTGGACTGGATGGTTTCTGAGGCCCCTTCCAGGCCTAAATCTCGGAGCCTATGAAGCATGCCTTCCTCTGACCACACTGGGACCATCTCTCACCCCAAGCCACCAAACAGTGCTCTAGCTCATTCCAGACAACGGACATGCTGACTTTGAATAAAATCCTAGGCTTGGACATAGAGTGGCCCTTGGGGGACATCAAGCTGGCCCTGCTCGTTCTACAGATGGGCAAACTGAGGCCCAGAGAGTTAGATTACCCCGCTCTACCACATGGGTCCTAGGACCATAGCTTGGAGCTGGAAGGGGCCTCCAAGACCCTCTAGTCCCTCCACATCACTTTACAGGTGGGGAAACTGAGGCCCAAGTCCAGAGCTCTGCCCCCCTGTAGCCTGCTGCCACCCTCCCAAGCTCCAGGCCGAGGCAAGGATGTTTGGTGTTTTTCCTCCACTTTCTGGACGCTTAGAATGGGCCTGATGAGAAAGGTAACAAAGCCTGCACTCTCATGGTATATTAAGGTTTGCAGAGCACCTTCCCCACAGCGAATCCGATCATCACAACAGCCCCAGGAGGCAGGTGCCATGATTGTCCCCATCCAAGGGCGGAAGCTTCAGGAAGCACTGATGCAGCTGTGGCTTGGGAAAGGCTGGAGCAGAGGCGACCGGCACACCTGGGCACAATCCACAGGCAGAGACTGCACCAGAGGGCCTGCCCAGGCCATCGGCAGCCCTCTGCTCCCCTCTAGTGGCCAAGCCCGAGCCCCAGCCTTCCCCTGTGTCTACTGATAGATGTTTAACAAGTACTCATCAGGCACCTCCTGTGGACAGGGTCTTCAGCGAGGCACCGGCAGACATAAGAATGGAAGACCGAGTGGGTCCCTGCCCTCAGGGGGCTTATAGTTCAATCCATCAAACGCTTATTAGATGCCAGGCCCAGGGTACAAAGATGAAAAACAAGACCGCCTCTGCTCTCGGAGCGCTTCCAGGGTGATGGAGGGTGTGCAATAAGGTTTACAAATAGGTCTGTGATACCAGGTAGAGGAAGTGGCCACTCTTTGAGCCGTTCAGGGAAGCTTCGTGGTGGGAGTGGTACCGAGCCCTAAGAGGCGTGATCAGGAAAGCGTGTGTGTGCGCGTATGCCTGTGTGTGTTGGGGTGGGGGGGTCTGGCATGAATCCATAGAGGCAGGATGAGGTCAGGGAGCAGTCTGGGAGGGGCACGGTCAGACCTGTGCCTTTCCTTGAACCAACGTGGAGGGGGACAGGTTAGAGCTAGAGACAGAGAGACCCATGGCTAGGGTCTGGTGAGGGATCCTGGGGCTAAGCCATACCAGCTACTGGGAGAAGCCAGTCTATGCTACTCACACGATCCCAAATGAGCCGTTTGTGATAACAAAACCCCATGGCCAACTGTCATTTACTTTAGTGGACTGGGACTTCAAAGGCATTTTCCAACAACTGTCCTGTGGGAAGGGGAGTCCACATGACACTGTCCCCATTGTATAGATGAGGATACCAAATCTTAGGGAGGTCTGTAGGATTTTGAGCTGGAAAGGGATCTCCATAGTCTAAGCTCCCCATTTTACAGATGAGGAGGCTGAGTCTCAGAGAAGCCCATGGTCACACAAGTGTAAACCAGAGCCACACACTGCGTGAACCAGGACATGTGAATAGCCCTGCTTCAGTCGGGGGATGGGGGTCGGGATCACATTCCTGGAAAGGAGACCAGCCTAGAAAGGTGGAGTGGCACCACACTGTGAAGGGCCTTAAGTGCCACACTGGGAAGGGTTAAATGAAGAGAGCCTGCAGGCCTGTCACGTGGAAAACAGTCACAGTTTCAAGTGACTGCTCATGGCCACAGCTAGGCTTTATCTCAGGGGCATCGCAACAAGCAGGATTTGAACCCAGGACTACTTCTTTGAAAGGCCTCCCAGGCCTCCCTGTGCAGTTCTCATAGGGATAGGGAACAAGGACTTGTGACTGATACAGGCAGCTGGGTGGTATAGTGGATAGAGTGGCAGGCCCAGAGTCACGAAGACCTGAGTTCAAATCCAGCCTCAGACACTTAAGCTGTGTGACCCTGGGCAAGTCACTTCACTCTTTGCCTCAGTTTCCTTATCTGTAAAGTGAGCTGGAGAAGGAAATGGCAAACTACTGCAGTATCTCTGCCAAGAAATACATGGCAAAGGCCCCCTGGGGCCTTCCCAGGCCTTATACCTTAGAGGAGAGAGGTGGAGGGGGGGATGGGAAGTCTTGGGGAAGAAGGCTTCTCCACAGCCCTGGCTTGGCTTCTCTGGGCTTCCCCTCCCAAGCCATGGAGCCAACTGGCTCACTCCCTGATGCCAAAATGTAGCCGCCTCCAGGAGGGTTTTGGCCCCTGCTTAATAGGCCTAGCAAGTAAAACGGGCCGCTGAGGAGAGGAAGTCTGTCCAACTGCAGCAGCCTGGGCCTTGGAGAGAGGTAGGATTCAATCACCCAACCCGGAGGCCCCCAGCCTGAGGGACGGAGCAGGGCTGGGCCGTCTCAGTGGGAGAGAGAGCAAGTGTCCAGCTGCGTCTGCCTGTGAAAGGCTGGGAGACAAGCCAGGCCAGGCCTGACTCCTGAGGACCACCATCGGGAAGTCCTGAATAATCTGGAGGGGGAGGGAGGGGCAAAGGCAGAACCAGGAGAGAGAACATCTGGCTTTCGTTGTCAGATGGTGGAGTTCTGAAGAAATGAGCGGCCCTGACCTAATGGGCCATAAACAGTGGCTTAAGATGAATGACAGTGGACCGGCTCCGAGGCATACGTTTGTGGGAGGGGGCGCAGGATTGCTGGGATCAGCGCTGGGAGTCTGTTTGCTTTAACATCTTTCTTGCTAATGGCCCGGAAGAGAGAGACAGACATCCCCTTAATTGAGTTCACAGCTGCTGGAAAGGTGGTATGAACAACTCATTGCTGGGGAGACGGGGACGTCTGGGAAAACCCTGCTCCAGCTGAAGAGAAAGCCAGGGCAAGGAGGAGGCACCTGAGGAAAGGTTCAGCGCACATCCCACCCCCATCCTCCACTGAGAGCGGTGACAGTCCAGAAGGAGCAGTGCCTTCCTTGGCTGGCTCCCACCGGGGCAGAAGGTGGGGCATGGCCACCTGCCAGCCAGGCCCAGAGGGAAGGAGGGGTCTCGGCTGTTCAGCTGCAGTGCAGAGCCTGCTTCTGGGACCCTCGGACCTCATCTAGCCGGCTCCACTTAACGGAAATCCCCTTGAAAGCAATCCTGACTATTGGGCCACCCTGCCGCATCCTGAAGACCTCCAGAGGAGGTCGGCAGACCCACCACTCCGGGGCAGCTTGGCTTGAAATCTGCCTCTGCAGCAACCCCCCTGCCTGGGTCCAGATGGAACCTGTTAATCTTCCAGACTGCTTATGGGGCTTAAACACCTTGACAGGTGTAAAGTGTCTGCAAACCTTCAAGTGCTTTAAAAACACCAGCATGATTATTGTCATCCTCTTTATTGTGTCCGATCTCCTGCATGACGGCTCTCCCTGTGTGGACAGACGGCCTTTCCTCCAAAGCCCCCCCCCACCCCAGGGCCTTCACTCCAGACACCCTCTGGCCCAGCCAGTGGCCAGCAACACCGTACATGCTACTTCAGGCATGGTTGGCATGGGGCAGAGCGTGCCCAGAGTCCCCATGCTTGGCGCTTTCACGCAGCTGGTCTCAGCTCCTGCCTCTGACCCCAACTCACCCCTGGTCAGATGCCCCTGGCAACTGTCTAAGACTGGAAACTAAACCACAGCAGCTGACCTTTGAGACACCACATGGAGCAGGATGTGGTAACAGGAAGATACGGGTTTGAATCCTGCCCTTATACTTACTAGCTATGGGACCCTGGACAAATCACTTAAGTTTCCTCATATGTATCAAATGAGATAACATGGAAAGCCCTTTGGCAGACCACAATATAAGTGTTGGCTGGAAGGGAGCAAGTTTTAAGTGCCTGCTATGCGCCAGGCACTGTGCTAAGCACTTCAAAAATGTCTGATTTGGTCCTCATGACGACCCTGAGAGCTAGCTGCTGCTATTATCATTACCATTTTAAAGTTGAGGAAATGGAGGCAGACAGAGGTTAGGTGACCTGCCTGGGCCACACAGCTAGGAAGTGGCTGAGACTGGGTTTGAGCTCAGGTCTTTCTGACTCCAGACCCAGTGCTATTTCTCATAATTGTTATTGACACAATGCCCTAATTACCCAGCATGCCATCACAGAGGTTACTGGCCACATTTTCTGAGTAGGTGGTCAGGGACTTCTGGGCACAGTGCACACTTAAAAGGGGATGGATCCACGTGGAGGGTTTGGGTGGGACGTGGAAGCTCTGAGATGCAGACGCTGGGGCTCCTGGAGGGCCTCGATCTAGCTGGGGCCTGCAGACACAAGAAGCATACTGTAGAAACCACGTGCTGGGCTGTGGGTGGGTGGCCTTGTCCTCTACACTGCTGAAGGTCAGAACGTGGCCCTGCTCACCTCAGAGGTCTCCAAGGGCTGGGTCTGGCCAGATCCTCTGAGGAAGGATCGTCTTCCTTCTTTTCCCAAAGTGGGCCATTGCGGGGTTTCTGAGTTGTGGGGATTCAGAAGTCTCTAGAGCATAAATTCCTAACCTTCTGTTGTGCCCCTTTTCACAGTCTCATGAAGCTAGTGGACCTTTTCTCAGAATCATGTTTTTAAATAATTTCAATGAAAAGGTTGTGAAAATAAAGATGTAATTTTTTTTTCCATCCACATTTACAGAATCCCCTGAAATCTGTCCTAGGTTAAGAATGTCAGGACTCAAAGTATGGTCTGGAGGAATTGAGAGGTCCCCCAACACCAGGAGTGGGGAACCTCCGGCCTTAAGGCCACATGTGGCTTTCTAGGTCCTTAAATGTGGCCTTTTGGCTGAATCCAAATTTTACAGAACAAACCCTTTAGGATTCAGTCAAAAGGCCACACTTAAGGACCTAGAAGGCCACATGTGGCCTTAAGGCCTCAGGTTCCCCACCCTTGCCCAAGATACTTTTAGGACTTTCCCAAGGTTAAAACTTTTCATAATAATACTAAGATGTTTTAACGTTTAATACCATAAATTTAGATGGAACCCATGTAAACCAAAGCTCTTGGGTGGTGAATATTCTTAATTTTTAAGAGTATAAAAGACAGATAAACAAGATAAAAACAGTTTGAGAATCACTCTTTGAGGGTTTTCTTTACAGAAGGGCATGAGTATGGTATATCGTGTCCTATTAGACAAGGTTTACTGAACTGCTCTTTTTTCGTCTTTTAAAAATCTTTGGTAGAAGTAACAGGCGGCTAGATAGACAAGCAGGGAGGGATATGTTTGCAAATGAAGGTGATGTAAAAAATAAAAGGTCATCAATAACATTTTTTAAGCCCGGCAGGAGGCTGCCAAGTTAACTGGAGAGCGAGGAAAAGAGAATTCACAACTGGGGTTCTCGTGAATCTATCCAAAAGCATTTATTAAGTGCCTACTGTGTGCTTGGCACTCTGATAAGTGCTGGGGGTGCAAAGAAAAGTTTCAAACAGTCCTTGCCCTCAGGGAGCTCCTATTCTAATCAATGTCATTCTTTGTCTCCCTCCTTGCAGGAAGAGCAAGCCTTAGTCCCACCAAGCAAAACAAATGTGTGATTTCATGAGTCTGGCCACCGCCAGCATTGGCCAAGACCCACATGTGGCCCAAGACTTCTCATGCTCCTAACCCCCCAACAACTGCCTTGAAAAAGGCTCCTGGACGGACCCCTGGGGAGCTGGCCCTTTCCCTCCGGTCAGCAGCCTGCTGGGCCTCCGTCCTCTGTCTTGGCTGGCCTCCTGAATGCTGGCCACAAGTCCTGGACAAAGTCAGTTCCCCAGCTGTGCTGGAAGAAATCAGCTCCATGTTTACATTTAGTGGGAGTGGGGAGGGACACCCCTACCTTTGTGCCTCAACTTGATGGGAACCAAGGAATCCTACCAGGCTTAGCTGTTGTCTTTTTTCCCCCCTTTTCTGCTTGTTGCTGGTGATTCTGGGCCCTTGGGGCCTGCCAGGAATCAGGAGGGACTTAAACCAGGAAAGCAGGAACAACAGAGTAAGTGTCACGTCATCTCAAGGAGAGGAGGCGAGTGGGGGCGGGAGGGGAATTGGGAGGTCGAAACTCGTGGTGCTGGAAGGACTATGCTGTGGTAGAGAGGTCAGACTCATCTGCTCGACCTTGGAGAAGCAGTGGGCGCATGGTACAGACAGGGAGATTCAGGCTTGGTGTCTGGGAAGGTGAAGTGGAATGGGTCGCCTTGGGAGGAAGGGAGTCCCCCTTCCCCAGAGGTATAAAAGGGTAAGCTAGAAATGGATGTTACAGAGGGCAGGGCAGACTTAGGCGCCTCTGAGGGGAGAAGCAGGGGTGAAGGAGAAAGGTACCCTCATCAGGGTTACCGGTTTCTAGTCCTCAGTTCATGGAGAAATGTTGAATTTCTATACCACCAAGATTATTTCCAAAAATCCAGCTGAGGAAGCAGATGGGTTTCACCTGGCTGGCCTAGCACAGCCAGGGGAAGGGGTGTTTGTAGGCTTCCTAGAGAGAGGGGGCCCAGTGCCGTGGGGGAGCCCCTGGGGGCCTCTGCCTGGAAAATGAGGGCCAGACTGAAGTCTCATGCCCCTCCCCTCCAAGCACCTTCTATTACCACCTCTTTTGGATCATTGGATCTCAGGATTCAGAAACTGGAGCAGACATTGGGGCCCTTCTCCCTCTTCCAACCTCTCCATTTTCTAGCCAAGGAAGGAGGTTCCCAGTGGGGTTGGAGGCAGGGGGACTGAGGGGCTAAAGTCCTGAACAGGCACAAAGGGGTAAGAGCTCACATTGCTCTCAATCTGGGGTCTCTGAACTTGTTTTTTAAATATTTTGATCAGTAGATTTCAGCATAATTGGTGTCCTTTGTCATCCTATGGATTTTTTAATGCATTTAAAAACGTGATTCTGAGAAGGAATCTCTGGGCAGACCGGGTGCCCGGGGGTCCAGGACCCAAAGGAGGTGGGGAGAAGAGCACTGGGTCTGAGAGTCTGAGTTCACGTGTCTGAATTCCCCCTCTGCTGCCAGCACTTGGGTGAGCTCTGGTGGCTAAATCTGCCTCAGTTTCTTCATCTATCAAAGGAGGTTGGCCTGGTGACGTCTGAGGGCCCTCCCAGCTCTCAGTCTGTGATCCTCAGGTAGGGAGTGCATGTGTCAGCCCATCTTACAGATGAGACCAACGTTTGATGGCTGCCCCTGGTCACCTAGATAGGCTCAAGATTAGGGGCCACCCTTCGCTCGCGCTCTCTCCCCTTCCCTGCCAAGCTTCTTGGGGTCGGGGCTATTTTGGTTTTGCATATGTGTGCCCAGCTAGTGCAGCGCCTTCTTAATACACGTGTGTGGAATGGAGTTGAGGCCTTGGAGCAGAGGGGCGTCATGGAGAGTGGATCATCCTCGGAGCCAAAGATACCCGGGTTCCAATCTTGTCTCTGGAGCTGTATTCAAAAAATGGAACTCAGGCTGAGATGGTCTCCAAAGCAGTCTGGGCCAGTGGAGTGCTGCCAGGCTCTGTGTGTGTGTGTGTGTGTGTGTGTGTGTGTGTGTGTGTGTGTGTGTGTGCGCGCGTGTGTGTGTGTGTGTGTGTGTCTGTCTGTCTGTCTGGTGTTAAGATGAAACAAGGGCCCCAGGGAACACAAGAGAGATTTGGCTCCTAGACAGCGGAGAAATCTGTAGCTTAGACTGGCTGCGTTTCCACTCCATCTCTACAGAAACATGAGTTCTTCTTTCCCTCTAGTTAAAAGCCATGAGGCCATAGCTGCTCGGCCCATGAAGCAAAGGCATCATGCCTGCCTCATGCCCCTACACGTGGCCTTACGAGCCACTTCTACTCGCTCTAGAAAATCAGCCACGTGGCTCTGAACTGAGTCAGGAGACCAGAGTCCTAGGATGGCTTCAGACGTTAATGTGCTCTGTCACTTTCAATGAGCAAACTTTGTCGCTGCCTCCCTCCCCGCCTTGGGGTCCTCAGTTTCTTCATCTGTAAAATGGGGGCTGGGGGTGAATTAGATGATTGTCACTTCTGGTAGTCTCCAGATTTATCAAAATGTCAGACGATGGAAGTCAGGAAGTCCCTGGTCTCCAAGGGAGTAATAAAGAGCTAGAGCCAAAGAGAACAGAGGTAAGAACGGCACCTTCATGGGCATACCCTGGTACAGTGGCCTCTGGTATGGCTCAGAGTCAGAGGACCTGTGTTTGAATCCTGCCTTCGATGTTTACTACCTGTGTGACCTTGGGCAAGTCACTACACCTTAGTCTCCTTATGCACAAAATGAGGGCATCTCCTACATGACAAGGAGACCACCAGGCTTGCCTCAGTTGCTCATGTACAGCATACTTTTAGCCTTGTTTATCTCTTTGGGAAATACAAGTGGGACAGCTTTGGGGGAGGGTGTTGGGTGGGAGAGGTGTCAAATTGAGGTCGGAAGCCAGATCCTCAGAGGTGAGTAGAGAAGCCTGACCTGAAGTGGGGACAGCAGGCTGCGCATCTTCAAATCGAGTAAGTTGGAGGGGGGTGACAAGAGGGAGAAAGAGGGAGGCTTAGAGAGAGTCTGGAAATGATGCAGTGGCCCAGAAAGGTGGAGATTTGTCCTGAAGGTCTAGGAGGCCTCAGGGTGGGGCCCAGCGCCACCTTCCCTGGGCTTGACTTGTCTCTTGGGGTTAGTGAGTCATTGAGGAGGACCCCACAGGAAGGTCTAAGGTGTTGCCCCGTGAGGGCAGAGGGGGCTGACCATCAGCAGAGGACAGCAGTCATGGCCTTGCCATGGTGTGATCCTTTAACGCTATGGAAGCTATTCCCACTTGTTGGCCTAACGTGTGTGCACGGGTATTTACCTAAACCCTAAAAAAAGGGAAAGGTAACTCTTCCTAAGGGGGAGTAGTATTGACCCCACGGCTGGAATTTGTATCTCAGATCAGCTAGGCACCTAGCAGAGTCCTGAAGAGAGGTGGTCCAGGAGAAGGAAGGTCTGCAGGAGGAAAGACGGGCAAAAGATGGTAGTGTGCTGAGTGTGGTGACCTGGGGAAGCTAAGGGAACTGGGGGAGAGAGGATATAATAAAGGGAAGAGGAACTCAGGATGGGGCCTCATCTGCCTCTCCTATACACACATCCCTAGGCCTGTTCCATGTGTGTATTCATTTATATACACATGCATACTGTGATTTATATGGAACACATGTAGACATGTATGTCTATATATGTTTATATATACACAAATATATCCTGCATACATACACATACATCTGTGTGTATGTATGTGTGTGTCTATATCTCTGTCTCTCCAAACCTGTGATTTTCTTGTCAAGGAGAACCTAGGAGCCTGGACACTTGGCCCATGTCTCCAGACGAGCCATTCTCTGCCACTGAGAGGCCTAGAGGGTGGTCAGGGCCCCTGACAGGTTACAGGCCTGGCCCACAGCCACGCGGCTTATGTGTCCATCTGAGGACTTAGGCCCAGGCCTTTCTTATTCCAAGGACTGCCCTCCCTCCCTAGGGCACCTACCTCTTTCCTTGCAGATATAAATACTTATTGAATTCAGCTGAAAATGAGTGCAAAGATGGGGAACTAAGGATGTGAAGTGTTGCACACACATTGTTAATGTACTGCTTTTGCAGAACTGTGGGGTTTGGGGGTAATTTTTCTTTTCTAAATCTTTGTTAAAAGGGAAAGCTTGATGACAGGAAGCGGGGAGGGAAATGAATGTGAAGTAAAAAAAAAAAACCAAGAACAACCAAAAGGCATCAATAAAAATACATTTTTAAAAAATAATTGTTTTTTTAAATGAATGAGAAATTAATTCTAGAATGGGGAAGTGACTTGTCCAGGGTCACATAGATACTAAATGGCAGATCAGAAGCCAGCTTTCTTTCCAGTGCATCCCACTGCCTTTAATTACCCTGCCTGGGAATTCATTCGAGACACCAGACTTTGAAGGACGCTGTTGCAGAAAGAGCCCTGTGGGCCTTGGAGCCCAACTCACCTTCACCTTCCTCAGACAAGGTACAGAGAGCCTGCATGGAGGCCCTGCTCCCCTCTGAGCCGTCTCCTCACTGGTCACGACTGTGTGAATGTGCACACGCACGCACGCGCACACACATACACACACACACACACACACACACACACACACACACACACACACACACACGCGCACGCCTGGGCCCTCTGCCCCCTCCTCATACTTCCTCCTATCAGCCCAGCCCTCCTCCCTGCAGGGCTAAGCTCTTGTCTTCATAGCCGACTTTCAGCTAAGTCTTCCTACCAGTGTGCTCGTGGGGAGAGGTTCCAGGAGCTCCTCAGGGCCCCCTCTCCAGTTCCCAGGCCACAGGTACATGATAATCAGAGCTTTGTGGAAATCACAGATAATTCTTATTTGCTTCTTCTGTTGTTTCGCATGAACTTGTTTAAATTAGATGAGGTAATAAAAATGTACCAACCAGTCAGAGAAGGCTACTGTCAAATTTCTCGTATGTCTATTAAAATATGGAGGGCTGTGCATATATGGAAGAAGGGGAGGAGCCACCTGGACCAGTGGAGAGATCTGGATTCAAATCCTCCCCCTGACACACACTAGCTGTGAGACAATCTCTCAGCATCCCAGACAAGTCTCTAAGGCTATGAACTGCAGGCCAGTTGCCAATCTACAGTGATATAGGGCAGAGCTGGGGAACCTTTGGCCTCGAGGCCACATGTGGCCTTCTAGGTCCTCGGGTGTGGCCCTTTGACTGAGTCCAAGTTTTACAGAACAAATCCTTTTATTAAGAGGATTTGTTTTGTGAAGTTTGGATTCAGTCAAAGGACCACGCTTGAGGACCTAGAGGGTCACATGTGGCCTTGAGGCCGTAGATTCCCCACCCCTGGTATAAGAAGTTTCTTCATTATTTTCTCTACACCAATGTAATCACAGGTCTAAGGGAAAGATATATGTATATGTGTGCACATACTATCTTTTTACACATAGTAATCATGGGTATCTGAAACAGCAGTGCACCCTAAGGGAGAGCCGGGGGTGGCACGTGCCACATTCCCTTAAACTCTGAGAAGAGTCTAGAATCCTGAGCCCAACAGCACTTAGCACAGTGTTGGGCACAAAGTCAATGCTTAATGAATGCTTTTTCATCCCTCCACCCATCATCCATTCATCCACCCATCATTCATCTGTTATCTATCATCCATCATTTATTCATCTATCTATTATCTATCCAACCAGTAATCATCCATCCACCCATATTCATTCATCCAGGCATCAGCCATCCATCATTTATTCATCTAGCCATTATTCATCCATCCACCCACCATCTATCCATCCATCGCTCCATAATCAAACTTTATTCACCCACCCACTCACCCATCATCTATCTAGCCATCTATCATTCATTCATCTATCATTCATCATCCATTCATCATTTATTAATCTATTATTCATCCATCCACCCATCTATCCATCCATCTCTCCATAATTAAACTTTATTCATCTATCCATCCACCCATCATCTATTTAGCCATCTATCACCATCCATCCATCCATCCATCCATCCACCATTCATCATCTATCCATTCATCATTTATTCATCTATCTATTATTCATCCATCCACCCATCATCTATCCACCCATCTCTCCATAATCAAACTTTATTCATCTATCCATCCACCCATCATCTATCTAGCCATCTATCATCCATCCATCATTCGTCATCTATCCATTCATCATTTATTAATCTATTATTCATCCATCCACCCATCATCTATCCATCTATCTCTCCATAATCAAACTTTATTCATCCATCCACCCACCATTTATCTAGTCATCTATCATCCATCCATCCATCCATCATCCATCTATCATTCATCATCTATCCATCCATCATTTATTCATCTAGCCATTATTCATCCATCCACCCATCATCTATCCATCTATCTCTCCATAATCCATTATTCATCCATCTATCTACCCATCATCCATCTATCTCTCCACAATCATTCATTCATCCATCCATCCATCCATCATCCACCCATGATTTATCTATCATCTATCCATCATCCATCTACCCATCTTGGAATCATGGAAAGAACACCAGTCTTGGGGTCAGAAGACTTATTTCAAGTCCTGGCTATGACTCTTACTAGTTATGTTAATGAGACTAAGTAAGTCATTTCACCTCTTTTGCACTTCTTTCCCCTTTCCAAATCTAGAAAGTGAGGATAAGAACACTGGCACTAGCTAATTCACAGGATAGCTGTCAGAAATGTGCTTTGTGAACCCTAACATGTCTTAGAAATGTGAGTTATTATGGAGCACCTGGAGGTACCCCCAATGCCACATGAGAATCCTCCAGATGCAGAGTATTCTTTGGGTCTTCGTTAGTTCTATGATGTTATAGTATAATATCTGTCACATTCATTACACATATAACATACACACATACTGAGGCAGATATGTGGGAATACCACATACATTGTCTTCCTTCCTAATGGACCTGTGATTCCAGTGGTAAGCGGACTCTCAAGGAGGCAGTTTCTCCAACACTGACCGGTGCCTCCTCCGCAACTAAGGGTCACAAAGTGGAAAGGACCTTCGAGAGCCCCACTCCAACCCTCTCATTTTACAAGTAATGGAACTGGTGCTCAGAGAAGTCATCTACTTTGTCCAAGGTCACACAGCCAGCACGTGTCAGACACAGGACTTGAACCCAGGTCTTCCAAGGTATTCCTGATTCTGAGGCCAGCTCTCTGCAGTGCTGCCTCACACTAAATGTGGGAGTCAAGTTGCTCTTTACCACCATCCGAAGCCTCCTGGGGATCCAGAAGTAGTGTGTTCCCCAGAGATAGGTTTCCCACTTCTTTGCATATTCCTAAGAACTTCCCTGGTGGGCCTGTCCCTTCATCTATATCCCCACCGACTTCAGAACTTGTGGGAGCCAGCCCACCACAGAGGGATCAGTGTTGATGTCAAAGGCCTTGTCGACAGACCCCTGGGTTGGACTATTCCCAGGGAGCTCTGGGCAGTGGGTGATACTCATTATGAACTGACCATAAATAAGTGAATATTGTGTCTCTGGTTTTTAACTTGGAAGGAGCTTAAATTCTCAACCAAACGAGGTGGTATGAATTTTGAGATAATGATGCTACCGTTTTTGTAGCAGAAACTAATATCCATAAGACTGTATTTGCTTTTTATGTCGCTTCATGACAACTGCCTTTTTCTGTGATTGGGCCCTAAAAGCAGTGTCATCTGGTATGTATATGCTTCCTATATCAGACGTATCTAAGTGATTAGAAATTTAAGCTAGTAAAAGATTAAGGCAACACTGAGGCTTTTGGAATACAATATAATGTACATATTTGTGTCTACATACATTTATGTGCATAGCTCTCCCCAGAATCCTTCTCCCCGTACCTTATCTCACTGTGGAGTGACCTTGGACTCCAGAGGCCTGTGCCGATGGAACCCATTGGCTTGGTCAGGTCCTCACGAGCTGACAGGGCTGTGGTGGAGGCCTACAGATAAACTCTATGTTTGCAGTTCAAGGACCAGCCCAGCTAAACCCAGAGAGGCTTATCCCCAGGTGGGATGCAGGATGAAGGACTGAGGATGAGTTCCTCATCTGTAAACAGGGGAGAGTAAAGAGTACTTGCCCCAAAGGTTTCTGAGGAGGATGAAAGGAGATCTATAGAACATGTAATGAGGCAGCCAGGTGGTGCAGAAGATAGAGCACCAGATTTGGATTCAGGAAAACCTGAGTTCAAATCTGGCCTCAGACACTTCCTAGCTGTGTGACCCCAGGCAGGTCACTTAACCTCAGCCTGCCTCAGTTTCTTCAAAAGTAAAATGGGGTGGATAAGAGTGCCTCGCAAGGCTGTTGTGAGGATCAAATGAGATACTATTTGTAAGCACTTAGCACAGTGCCTGGCACATAGCAAGTGCTATGGAAATACTCATTCCCTTCCCTTCCCCCTAAAAGCCCTACAGAAATGCAGCTTGTCATTAATGATTGAGGTCTCTCTGTCACAACACCAAAGCTTTGCTCTGCTTACCAACTTTTCCACACTCCTAGAAAGTCAGAGCAGGTGTTAATGACACGTGGGCTGATATACACACACCTGTTTTATTTCAGGCTATTCCCCGGCCAGCTTTCCCAGCCAGTGTCCCTCCTCCTCCACAGGCCCTATTACATGAGTCGGTGCCCACACGAATCCCACCAAATAGCCTTAACAGGAAAAAGATTTCCAAGTTCCTGAAGTCTGGCCCCACAGAGGCCCCAGATTCTAGGGGGGTGGGCCCTGACAGCGAACAAGAGTGGACGCTCCTTGGGGGCTAATTCACGGCCCAGCTCCGGGCACCACTCCTCCAGTAAACACTCATTTCTTGCCCAAGGACTTGACAGGCAGCTGTGGTTAGCACTGACCTTCCAGTCTTGTCACAGGAATCTTTACCAATATAAACTGGTGTTATTATGAGTAATGCTTAATAAAGAGACAGGGAGGTTCAGGGAGAGGGAGCAGCTTCAGAGCCAGAAAGATCCTGGTCCAAGTTCTGCCTCTGACACACACCTGCTGGGTGACTCTAGTGAAACCACTCAAACTCTCTGGCCCCCAGGCAACTCTCTCTAAGATTACAGAAGCTGCGGAGCAGCTAGTACAGGGATTTTCCTCTCAAGGTACTTCCTACACCAAGGAAATCACAGCTTCATATCAATAATAATAAAAATAATATGAGAATGAGATAAAAGTGGCA